TTTAAAATGAAATAAACAACAAACATTTTTTGCAATAGGAAAACCCTTATTTTTATTATACCCTGAACCCATTGAAAATGGGAAATCAGGGTATAATGGTTTTGTTAAAAGTATGTAACAGACAGAAGGAGGCGTGGCAGACCCCACAAAGTATATATATTCTTGATCAGGGCGACGAGCTAAGTCGATTTGGCCCTGTCCGTCTGTCTGTCTGTCCGTCCGTCCGTCCGTCCGTATGTATGAACGCTTCGATTTCAGAAGAGCTAGAGACTTGAAATTTTTTTTCCTAGGTCCGTGTATATTACGCGCATATCAAGTTTTTCTTTTTATATCGATAACTACTCCCGATAATTTATTATCGATCAAAAACCTTATCGAAATCTAGTTATTTAATTATACCTCCTACACCTTTAGAGCTAGAGCTTCCAAATTTTATATGTAGACTTATATGCATTTTATATAATTTCGATTTTGGTTCTATTTTACCCCCCACCCCTATATCTACCCCCCCTATATCTACAAGTACTAGAGACTTGTGCTTTGGAATGTACATACATTTGAATATTATGATTATGTTCTGAAAGTTTCATTAAGATTGTACGTCTATAAATTAAAATATTCAACAAATAAATCCTTATAATGTTGCCCACACTGCAGCGCAGCACAAGCGCAGTCGCTGCTTACTGCGCAGTTAGCAGAGCGCGTTCTAATACGTGGATGTGTATGTACGTGTGCCGAAAAGAAGTGCAGAGTGATTAGAATATCAGCTTGGAGGGTTCAGGGTATCTCCTAGTCGAGCAATCTCGACTAGAGTCTTCTTACTTGTTTCTATATATAATGAGTCAGTTATTATTTTATTATAATTTGAATTTCCAGACGATTTATTTGTTATGGTATTTATAGTAGTATTTTGTAAAATATGAAATAGTATTTTATAGTATAATTTTGAGACCAAATTGGTATTTTTCGTTTGGTCCGGCGCGGTCACCCTGCTAGATATGTAGAACAAACTTTTTCAACACCGAAAAAATGCGCTGAAGAGACCGGTCAACTTCGTATTTGGTCGGCTCGGTCTTCTGAGGCTCAAGCAGTGAAAATAAGGCACGACAAAATCTGCCACGAAATGCACGCATTACCAAATGAAGCACGACTATGCGCTCGTTTTTCCTTACTCACTCTCTCCCTCTCTTTATGCTCTCTCTCTATGGTCTCTCGAATAGCAGCAGCGCACAAAAATTGAAAATTGTTTGCGACGATCTCAGCTCGTTCCTTTTGAGTGAAGGCTTACAATTGCATGAGTTTTATGATATCTAACAGATGCACCCGACCAAATACGAAGTTGACCGGTCGCTTCAGCGCATTTTTTCGGTGTTGAAAAAGTTTGTTCTACATGTCTAGTCTATGGGTTCTCTGGTTGGTGTGTATATGTATGTATTCTTTAAAAAAATTATTCGATTGAAATCCATTCATTTTATAATTTTAATGCTTAAAAATAAGAAAAGAAACAAAAACAAAATTAAATAGTAAATAAAAAATATATGTATCACTCATCAGTCTTAACTGTTAATAACCGTTAGCTTCTTTATAATACTCGTATTTTAAGATATGCAATTAAATTGTTATTAATATCATTATTTAAAATTAATCTAAGTATGGGAAACTCCATCCAACATTCTAGCAACATTTTTGGATTTTTGCGAGCTTCGTTTTTCGCTAACACGATGTCCAGCTTTGTTGAACATCCGCTCACTCTCAGTAGTAGTGCTGTAAAACTATCGATCGAACTATCGATATATCGAATATTTATATTTCTGCGTCCATATCGATTGTTTTTTATACTATCGATAGAGATGATATCGTGCGTTGCACATAATTACCAAAGTGCAACTTCGCAAGTCGGCGGCTCTTTTTGGTAAGAAATACATTTATAAGAAGCAATTAAGTATTTATTTGTAGGTAAATTTTCGTTGGTGTTGGTGGCTGGACAGATTATCACGGAACGACGAGCTGCCTTAAAAGCTAAGCATGTGGACATGCTTGTCTTTCTTGGATCTTGGCAGAAGAATAAAAGCCATGCATTTAATTTTAATTTTATCTAAACTTTTTTTTTGTTATAGTCCATGAAGGATCTCATTATTGTTTATTAAAATTTTTATTTTTATTTTTAAATATGCACTTATTTTTTGTTTTTGAACTTGAAAATATTTTCGATAGTACTATCGATGCTATTGAATAATTGTTGTAAAACCATCGAAATTATTGAATGTTGCAACCATCGATAGTTTTACAGCTCTACTCAGTAGAGGTTGCTGACACGCATATGTACATATTATTTAGCACTTTTAGCTCACTGCTCGTTTTTTGCTTAATTCAGCTCATTGTGATGTATAGAAATACGTCTACATATTAAACCAATAAATTTAGTGGTGGGAACATTTTTACAAAACATCGAACAAAAAACATCTATGTATTTCATTTTATTTGAAACATCAATGTATCGATGTTACATCGATGTTGCGCCCAGCACTAACAAGTATGTATATTGTTTACTGACCACGTGAACTGCAAAGATTAATTGTAATGGAACAGAAATTCCTGTTGCCTTCCCCAAATTTTAATAAAACTTTTAATAAACCAAACAAGACTAATTTGCATTATCTAACACCATCTGGCATGACGCTACTTTCACGTGAAAAACAGCCACCTCCGATGTATGGAGCGCACGGAAGTACAGTGGCTCCAAAGTATTTCCAAGTAGGGAAGCAACAAGTAATGCAAATATGTTAACATGAATTAGGAATATAAACATATATTTTAATTTTTTAAAGAATATTAGTGTCACAAAAAAATCATCAAATTACTCTCCATCTCGGACTGAATACTGTGGAAACTGTAAGATGGAACTGGCCACATCGCAAGATATGCGTCGTCATTTCAACCAGCATCAAAGTTGTCCCGCTGAAGAATGCAGTTTTACAGCTCTATCATTTGTTATGGAGCGACATATTGAGGCAAACCACATAACGGGTTTGTACAAAACTGTAAAAAAAGTTTGGACACCTCAGAATATTGCTGCCTGGCGCGCTGAGCGATGCAAGAGGTTTGTAAAGACATTTAAATAAGTTACAATCATTGAGATTTGATTTTACAGATTTCCAACGGCAGCTAGCGTAAAAATAGCCAAACTGGCTAAGGAACAGCGCTTAAAACGAGGCGAACGCCTTGAGGCATCTAAAATGCGCTTTGGCATGCTGGATGACAGACGAAACATGCGTTTGCACTCATACACAAAGAAACAGAAATCTATGAAGGAAATTAAAAAACTTAGATGTATGAATACTTCGGAACGACAATCAGACCGTCAGAAAGGGCCAAAGAAAGTAATGGAAAACACTACTTTAGAAGATCCAAGCAATTCATGTTTAATTGATGTGCCTATTTTTCGTGGGACTAGTAAAATGATTGATTACAAGCATATAAGGCTTAATTCCAGAAACAAGGTTGATAATGCATTAAGCAACATGTTCCGAATTTATGATACGGACACTGAGAGCGAAAATGAAGCATCAGATAATAATAATCATGATGTAAGAGATTTGGCTCACTTTACTTTTGTAGAACCCAAGATTACTGTAGATGACTATGATGACAATTCAGATGATACCAAGCTTAAATATCCAGTCACGCCTTTAACAGAAAATATTACCAAATATGAATTCACGATAGGTTCAAGCTCTTCCGATGAAGGACCTGATGATGTACCCATTGAACGAAACAAAGATCCCATTTCTAGCGCACAACAGGATCAATTACGACCGAAAGTCATCAAAGCCTTTAAATCAAATCCTTTTCAAAAAAAAAAAAGTTCTGGTTTGAATTACATGCGTGCGCGTCAATTAAATAATCTAAACACAATGCTATCTAAGCTGTTAGAGAGCGAAATACGACACGAGCGAAATGTTCTTTTGCAGTGTGTGCGTTACGTGTGTGAAAAAAACTTTTTTGATTTGTAAAAAGTTTTCGACTCGGGAAAAAAAAAATGAAAAGCATTGAATGACGAAAACAAACAAAAATAAAATGTAATTTAATTTTATTGCATTTATAAAATATTATTAGCAGAGCTTAAATTTGCAATTAGCTTGCGGGCATACTACCGCCGGCATCAGTGGCTATTCCACTAACACTGGAAGTATTGCCAATGCCTACACCACTGCCGTCTGTAGATCCTGAACCACCAGCTGCGACTGCCGTCTGCTGCTGTTGCTGAGCTGCGGCTGCTGCCGCCTGTTGTTGCTGTGCAGCTGCGTGTTCTTGTTGGCGCTTTTGTTGTTGTTGTCTAGCCGCATGCGAGTGTTTGGCCTTGGTCTCTTCCAGTTCACGTACTCGAGAGCGCGCATGTTGAATGCGATGCCAAGCCATTTGCAAAACTTTAGCGGATGCATATCCCGATCCCTCGTGTGGTTGACCGGTGGAAACTTGTGTGAGATAGTTTATTTGCTCAGAGAGTTTGGACTCAACACTAGACAAACTCTTCAAAAATTGCTGAGACTGTGTCTCGGCACTTTTTTGAGAAGTCTTCTCCTTACCCAGCTCTTGCAACGCCTGACCTACGTGTTTCTTATTATTGTTGACTGCAGTAACAAATGGCCATAAGAACGCTTACCTGCACTCTGCATGCAGAGTATTATATCTTTTTCAATCTCATCTAGTGCATGTATTTTGTCCAGCGGATTCATGCTTTCTTTTCTTAGGGGATCCTGACTTAAAGCGTTTTTAATTTGATATATTTAAAAAAAAATTAAGTAACTGCTTTTTCTAGATTCCTTGTTTGTTTATTAGACATTCACCAAAGAATTATGTTTGGGTTGCTATCGTCTATTTATAATAGTTGTCATCGAAGCTATCGATATATTATAACAATGATATTCTGTTAATTTTTTTTATATATGTATTTAGATAACATAAAATTAAAACTAATTTAAATTTAAACAATTAAAACGATAATGAATGAATAATTAATTAATCGGTAGCTAAATTAATGTCCAATACCAAACCAAGCAAATTTAAAATACTGTCTTGGCAAAAGCAAACAATTTTCATATAGTTCCGATGATTCTTGCTCCATATGCCAAACTATAAACCCAGCTCCACAGTTTATTTGCTTATGTAATGCGTACTGTGAACGATTTGAAAAATGTGACTTACACTGCCGACACTCAAATATATGGTCTTGTGAGTCAGTTTTAAGAAATCGTCGAACATCTCGTATTTCATGTAAGCCTGCAAGCTCTCCTGTAACATTTGTAAGTATGAGAAATGTTGGCGTTTTCTCCACATCCTCGCTTCTGAGCAGATAGGGGACCGCAAAAATTTCCTTGGTGCTAGAGCATGTTCGTATGCAATATAAGTTAACCTTCAGGGATGTTGGAAAGTTTCCGACACTTTGTTCATAACAGCCAGCAAGACTTTTATGGAGGAGCGTAATGTTTACTTTTGTACCTCTGGTGTGCTTGCTGTGTAAATAATTTGTATTGGCTTTAACGCGATATTGTAAAGGTATTTGTGGCTTTCCAAACATTTGACGCATGACCATAACTTTTATGCGTTTTATAGCACATGCCTCTAGCGGGACGCGATGATTTACCATTACAAAGCTGGTTATCTTCTCTAGCAATATCGAGAATAGCATATCCACGGTTTCCTTTATATCCAAATGATTGCCTATTATAACAGGGGTGCTCTCGTAATACATACGCTTCCCTAGCACTGTCACATAAAACCCAATCGTTACCTCTAACCGATTGGCCCCATAGTTCAGGAAACGGAGTAGTTGAGGAACCGCTTCGATACCGGCTTCCAATAAAAATTCATTAGTACGACTCCGTGCGCTTTCATCACACAGAACAAATGTTTGAATGCGTTGTAATTCGATGAGCTTGAGCAACTTCTTCTCTTCCAAGCTTAATTTGATGTGTTGATTATCGGAAACATTTAGCCAGTGATGACTGTAGGGCTCATTTCTTCCGACGAAATTGTGACACGTCTGGCATTCAAAAATCTGGCTATTGATGCAACTTTGGTGTCGAAAGGTTCTTGTATTTCCTACAGTTTCAAATAAATAGCGCGAGCTAACACGACGAGACATTATGAATTCTTTAAGACGACTGTTATAGCATTTCAGGGTGGAGTTAGGTTATATAGAAATGTTTTATTGAATAAGCCTAAGCTACTTTATTGTATTTAGAGCTAGCTACCTGTGTCAGCATAATATTCGTCGGCCATGTAATATTTGCAGCTGCTTTTGAGAAAAAGGGATTTATTTTATGACTTAAACTATATAAATATAAAGGCATATAGGACGAAAAGAAAAAAAAAAGTAGGATGGCAAAAGAAAATCTATCTAGCAAATCTGTCTAAACATATGTTTGTATATTACGAACTGTTAGTTCGAACATTGTTTTTCTGGAATTCATGCAGCACTCTAGTATATATGTACATACATACATGTATATATTACAAAAAGAAATGGCATGAGTTAGTTGCTCTCACTAGTTACAATTGGGAAAATTAATAGTTTTGAAACAATTAATAAAATAAACATAAATTGCGCGCTCTGTAGTCGAACCCGAGACTTCTCGATCGAGCGTCGCGCTGCTAGTCACAGCGCCATTTCCCTTTTCGAAGGTCCGATGGCAAAACTGAAATATATTCACTGCTGCAGCGCCATCTAGCAATGCTAGCACTTCATTCGCAATGTAATTTAAATAAAAATAAGAATAAGTTTTAATGTATGTGTGCACACGTATAGGAAAGCTGTTGTGGCTGCTGCACGTGCGTTGGTAATTGGCCAAACATTTTGTTAATTTATTAACGTGGATTGACTTTAAGGATTTTAATGAAACTTTCAGCATATGATCTATATATTGAGTATTTGACATTTAAAAAAGAGCCAAATCATTCACAATTAGCTGTACTGGCTTCTGACCTTCACTGGGGATTCTGCTGACTTTGGAGCCGGTATCCAAAATATAACAAAAATCGAAATTGTATAAAAATCATCTGAATATATATTTAAAATTTGGAGACTATATTCTTGATCGGCGACGAGCTGAGTCGATTTAGCCCGGTCCGTCCGTATGTATGAAATGAAATGTAATGTAATGTAATAATAAATTATTAAGCAATTAAGTTCCAATAGTAGGCACACACTGCAGCCAATGCGTCTTTATCCGTGCGTGCGTATGTGTATGTATGAATGTGTTGTTTCTTGTGTAAGCAGAAAGACGCGAAGAATTATTGAAATATCAGTCTCGGCTAGAGATTTCTTACTTATTATGAATTATATTTTTATTCGAAAATTAACATACGATTATAGAGCTCAATAAAATCAATTTTCTCCTCGGCAGTGTACGAATCGTTTGTGCCAATAATATTCAAGAACTTTGGAGGCACTTTAAAAATTACTGATTTGATTTTAAAACAAGTAAGAAAGCTCTAGTCGAGACTGCTCGACTACGAGATCCCCTGAACCCTTCGAGCAATAGCTATTTCAATCATTTTTCGCGTCTTTCTGCTACACAAGAAACACGCGCACACACACACACGCACGCACACACAGGCATACATACACACACACGCATACACACACACACACACACACACACACATACACACACACACACATACACAAACACAAGCATCCACGCATAAACGCGCATGGGCTGCAGTGTTGGCTTACTATGAGAACTTAATTGTTTAATAACTTTTTTTGTGGACATACGATCTTCATAAAACTTTGAGATTATGATTACAACATGAATATGCATATATTAAATACGCTTTTTACAAAGGTGAGGGTGAGGGGGTGGATATAGGGGTGGGGGTAAATTTTAACAAAACCCGAAATTGCATAAATTGCATATAAGCATACATAAAAAAATGGAGACTCTAGCAATAAAGGTGTAGGAGATATAATTTTATAACTGGTTTTCGATAAGGTTTTTTATCGATAAAAAAATCGGGATGAGTTATCGATTTTTAAACTAAACTAAACTTGATATCCGCGCTGTTATTAGGGACATTTTAAAAAAAATTTGAAGTCTCTAGCTCTTATATCTTCTGAAATCGACGCGTTCATACATACGGACAGACGGACGGACAGACAGACGGACAGGGCCAAATCAACTCAGCTCGTCGCCCTGATCAAGAATATATACTTTGTGGGGTCTGCCACGCCTCCTTCTGCCTGTTACATACATTTCAACAAAACCATTAAACCCTGATTTCCCATTGAAAATGGGTTCGGGGTATAAAAATCAGGTGCATTCCCTCTAACAGTTGTTAGTAGTGCTGGAAATTGCAGCGGACAATCAGCCGCTCACTAACTTTGGTGAATTGCAAAGTCTTAGCAAAGACAGCAACCTAACATCTGGAGTGAAGTCGCAGTTATTAAAAGTAGTGCATACTTTCGGGCTCTTGTTGTAGTTAAGCTGAGTTTAAGTTACTGCGGTCTCTAAACTCAAATTATATTAATAGCCATTGCCCACTACAGGCTTCACGTCGTGGTAGTCGGAGCAAAAAATGGATGCCAGAATGGAGGACGAGCTGCAAGCTTTCGCGCGTCGTTCTTCGTTGCAGTGATCACCGCAGCAACAAAAGAGAGCGCAGCGAACCCAATGGCTCTACGGGCTGCAGCTTATAAATCAAAACAGGCAGGTCGACAGAGAAACGCGAACAGCTGGACGGTCGTTAAAGGACGCAAGCCTTTGCAAAAACGACCCCGAAGTGATGCAATCGCGATCTCAGGCGGACATGCTTCGCGTAGTCAAGAGCGACCCAAATCTAAAACATCTGAGCGGCGATGCTCAGGGCATTAGGAAGACAGCTAAGAGGGACCTTTTATTGCAATTGAGTAGGAAGCCACTGCACGAAGCTGTAGGCAAGGCCTTGGGTGACCGAGCGGTAGTTAAAACACTCACCGAATCGGCTGAGATTGAGATCCGTGATCTAGATGAGTTAGCTAGCAAGGAGATCTTGGAGGCAATCAGGGTTGAGTTGAAGGATAGCTCACTCCTCATTGAGGCCATCAAATCGCTACGGCCTGCGTTTGGTGTACAGCAAAGAGCTACGGTTGCTCTTTCAGTTGGGAAAGCCAAAACTCTGCTCGAGCTGTCCAAAATTAGAATAGGATGGGTAGTATGCCGTATCCGAGCCGTGGACCAGCCTAAACGCTGTTTGAAGTCCTCGATTATGGACATAAATGGACCTAAATGTAGCCTCTCGTCCGGAAAGGTGAGAAGCAGACGGACCACTCAGCAGACAGCTTTAAGTGGCCATCCTACCGTGAAGCTGCGCGTAACATGAAATGTTAAGGTTCCTCCAGCTTAACTTAAATCACTGTGTTGCTGTCCAAGATCTACTAGAGCAGGCCATAAGAGAAAAATGTAGAGACGTAGCCTTTCTCAGTGAGCCTCATCACTGTAGGACCACCTGCCATAGGACATGGTCAAAAGACGCCAATGGCAAAGCTGTGTTGTGGGTATGTGGCAACTCAACGAATGTACTTTCGAATATTAAGGTCCCCAGCATGCAGCTTAGTGAATTCACAACGGTGCTTGATGAGCTTGCCCAGGATGCTAGGGATCGGAAGGCCATTATAGCAGGAGATTTTAACTCAAGGGCGTTAGAATGGGGTAGCCACAGCAAATGCCAGAGGCCGTATCCTACTGGAGATCTTCGCGACACTTGATGTTGCACTGCTCAACACTGGTCACGAGTTCACCTTCAGTCGGGCTGGATACGGATCTGTTATTGACATTACTTTTGTCACTTCATCCCTCTTTCGGGAAGAAACATGGAGCCATTGCGATAGCTGTACGGGCAGCGATCATACGGCACTTCTGTTCACAATAGGTGAGCCACCTGCTAGGGCGTCAACCTTGCGGAGAGAATCGTATCGGCTGGATACTTTTGATCCCGCGGTCTTTTCAGAGGATATTCAGTCTCTGGGCACAATTGGTAATGCTGAGGCCAGAGCATGCCAAATGGTAGCCCAAAATTCAGAGTGCCCGCAATAGGAGCATGTTACGTCGCAAGCAGTTCACGCGACAACAAGAGCCTACGTATTGGTGGAATGCACAAATAGGTGACATTTGACGCAAATGCATCCAGGCGAGAAGAAGCTATCAACAGGCTCGTGGTAGGTCTACGTTTTTTGAGAAGAAAAAGGCCGTTCAGAAGAAGGCCATTCAGGCAAGCAAAAGAGAATGCTTTTTGAGTTGTGGAAGATCATACAAGATAGTAGTTAAAAAACTATACGCAGGTAAACAGGTGCAGCCTATGGATCGCTTGGAGCGTAAATCGATTGTGGAAACGCTCTTCCCAGAAAGATTAAGTTCCATTCATGCCCCTGAGTCCGAGTCTGCTGATTAGGGCTCAACGAGCACTCAAATTGTTTTAGTTACAGACGAAGAAATCTTAGTAGCTCTCAGAGGTTTTAAAGCTAACACAGCTCCAGGACCAGACGGGATCCCAAATCGTGCGCTAAAGCTAGCCCTCGCCTTGCACCCGTTTGCCGTTTGCAGTACGTTTGCCGAATTATACAACGAATGTTTAATTCAGGAGACGTTCCCTGCAGCCTGGAAAACCCAAAACTTGCTACCCAAGGCTGGCAAACCACCAGAGTAGCCATCTTCGTATAGACCAATCTGTCTCTTAGACAACATACTCATACAGTGTCAGCTGGAGTACCCCAAGGCTCAGTGCTGGGGCTTCTCCTATGGCATGACATGTACGATGGCATACTGCGCTTGGAACTACCAGTAGGTGCGCACACCATTGGCTTTGCTGATGATGTAGCTGTCGTCGCCATAGGCAAGGAGCTTAAAGATACAGAGGCTATGTGCAACGAAAGTATCAATCGCATACGAAACTGGTTGACAGGAGCTGGACTCGAGCTAGCGGCGGACAAAACGGAAGTCGTCCTAGTAAGCAGTCGCAAAAAAGAGGAAACTGCCAATATAAAGATCGGCCACGTCATCATCGCATCAAAGAGGGCGATAAACTATATTGGCGTCATGTTAGACACAAGATTAACTTTCCGCGAGCACTTAGAATATGTGCATAAATAGGCAGCTGATTCTTGTAGAGCTATTTCAAGAATTATGCTTAACACGCGGGGACCTAAACAGCAACGACGGCTTCTTCTGGTGAGCGTCATTAGGTCTGTCACCCTCTATACTGCGCCAATATGGTTAAGAGCGATGGGAACGACGAGCTACAGCCGGGGCAATCGCGCGACCTACAGACTAAGCGAAATCAGAGTCAGCTGCGCTTTCAGGACTGTCTCCGATGGCGTGGCGCTCGTCATAGCCGGCATGGTGCCACTGGAGGATTTTGTCGCCGAAGCCGTGGAGCGAAATTCACACGCGCCTGCGCGACATTACGCTATCAGGGCGAACAGCTTTGCACAATGGCAAAGAAGGTGGAATAGCTCAACTAAAGGGCGATGGACACACACGCTCATTCCGGAGCTTGAGCCATGGGTAAAACGCAAACACGGCGAGGTTAATTTCTATCTTTCACAGATCCTCTCGGGACATGGTCACGACGAAACTGATGAATGCCCCTGGTGCGGACGAGGGCATGTGGAAGACACATTTTTTTCGAATGTGGACGGAGGAGAGGCGTCGTCTAGAAGAGGCAGTGGGCCGCTCCATCAGGGCGGACAACATAGTCAATGTCATGCTGGAATCGGAGGTAGCTTGGGAACTAATAAGCACCTTCGCGGCCATAGTGTAGCAGGCTACTAGCCTATGTATACTGTAGCTGGTTACTAGCCTATGTTATATTAGATTTAAGTTAACAGCATTATTGTTATCCATCAATAGATACACATCTATCGATAGTTAACCATATCGGTGGCTGAGGAGGCTGTCGATATGGAACATGCCAATTTGAGTAATAAAAGGAGGAGGATCGATACATTTCAAGCTTGAGTGTGAACAATAGCAGACGTGTGTAAATCAAGAGATTAAGAAATAAAGAAATTAAATAAAAGGCCTACTACAATAGTCATCACGCATCTTGTAAAATAGCTATATAATTTTGTTAATAAGATACCCTGAACCCTCTAATCTGATATTCTAATCACTCTGCACTTCTTTTCGGCACACGCACGTATTAGAACGCGCTCTGCTAACTGCGCAGTATGCAGCGACGTACAATCTTATTGAAACTTTCAGAGCGTAATCATATGGTGAAAATGTATGTACATCCAAAAGCACTTGAATTACGCCTTTTACAAAGGTGAGGGTGAGGGGGTGGATATAGTGGTGGGGGATAAATTACAAAAAAAACCGAAATTATATAAAATACATATAAGTCTACATTTAAAATTTGCAAGCCCTAGCTCTAAAGGTGTAGGAGATATAATTAAATAACTAGCTTTCGATAAGGTTTTTGATCGATAATATCGGGAGTAGTTATCGATATATAGAGAAAAACTCGATATGAGCGTGATATACACGGACCTAGGAAAAAATCTCAAGTCTCTAGCTCTTATATCTTCTGAGATCGACGCGTTCATACATACGGACGGACGAATGGACGGACAGACGGACAGAGCTAAATCGACTCAACTCGTCGCCCTGATCAAGAATATATATACTTTGGGGGGTCTTCGACGCCTCCTTCTGCCTGTTACATACATTTCACAAAACCGTTATACCCTGATTTCCCATTGAAAATGGGTTCAGAGTATATAAGAAGGTGGAAGATCTGATATTTCCAATATAGAGGTATTGCGAAATTATCTTCTCTTCCGGAATTATTTGAAAATATTATAATCAATTTGAATTTACTTCCCTTGTTAATGACAGTTTTTCTAAAAAAAAATGCTAAATGATGTTATTTATACTTACTTCAATTAAGCATTTGACTCAGTTCATCACCAAATACTAATTCTAATACTTGGACCCTTAGGTTTTTTCCATAAACTTGTGTATTGTATTTCATCCTATTTGAAGGGTAGAACCCAAAGAGTCTTGCTGAGAACACCTATTTCGAAACTTATTTTTGTGTCATCAACCTATCACCCGTAAATTTGTAAAAGACGTATTTCAAATACTAGTTGTGCCGTGGCACATATACGCACTTTAATGTTATTATCACGATTTAAAAGTTTTATGAAGAAAGCACATCCACAAAAAAGTTATCAAACAATTAAGTTCTCATAGTAATCCGACTACAACTTTCGTAATGACTTTCGTAATGATGACTTTCCTAGCTGTAAGTCTCATTCTACGATATTTATCTATGCAGAAGATGTAAAACTTTGCCTTCCAGTGCAAATGTGCACCTACATCTTAAGATGACCTTAATGCATTTAAACTTTGGTGTGTGGCAAACCAGTTGTACCTAAAAAAGTATACTTGGCTTTATTGAACATTGGTCTAAGGAATTTACAGATCCTTTTATTACCAAGCACGGTAATGTACGATTACTGTCTTACCATAGTAGGCTTCAGATTATTGATCTTCCATTGAATATCGGTAATATTGATTCGACCTCTTTGTTGATGCGTCTTAATTTTTCGGTTCCGTCCGCATAATTTACCTGCGTGCACTACGGATTATTCTTTGCATAGTACGTTTTATGTTCTATTTGTTAATTTTAATAAATATTATCACGTATTTTCCTTAGAGCTCTCTCTTCCTAAAATAAAATCCTTGCTATTAGCTTACCTTAGGGAAATCACTAGCAGTTCCCAGGCATAAGCACTAGTATACAAATCGTTGCCAATGTTGTGTAGTGATTTTTCAATCCTATCCTAGCTTTTATTATACCCTGAACCCATTTTTAATGGGAAATCAGTGTATAATGGTTTTGTTGAAATGTATGTAGCAGGCGGAAAGAGGCGTGGCAGACCCCCCAAAGTATATATATTCTTGATCAGGGCGACGAGCTAAGTCGATTTGGCCCTGTCCGTCTGTCTGTCCGTCTGTCCGTATGTATGAACGCGTTGATCTCAGAAGATATAAGAGCTAGAGACTTGAGATTTTTTTCCTAGGTCCGTGTATATCACGCTCATATCGAGATTTTCTCTATATATCGATAACTACTCCCGATTTTTTATTATCGATAAAAAACCTTATCGAAAGCTAGTTATTTAATTATATCTCCTACATCTTTAGAGCTAGAGCTTGCAAATTTTAAATGTAGACTTATATGTATTTTATATAGTTTCGGTTTTATTGTAATTTACCCCCACCACTATATCCACCCCCTCACCCTCACCTTTGTAAAAGGCGTAATTCAAGTGCTTTTGGATGTACATACATTTTCACCATGTGATTACGCTCTGAAAGCTTCATTAAGATTGTACGTCTAGAAATTAAATTATTCAACAAATAAACTCTCATAATATTGCGCACACTGCAGCGCAGTCGCTGCTTACTGCGCAGTCAGCAGAGCGCGTTCTAATACGTGCGTGTGTATGTATGTGTGCCGAAAAGAAGTGCAGAGTGATTAGTATATCAGATTAGAGGGTTCAGTGTATATCCTAGTCGAGCAGTCTCGACTAGAGTCTTCTTTCTTGTTTCTTACAAGTAATGCAAGATAGTAAGTAAAGATACTACCCTGAACCAAACTAAAATTTCAATTTCGATGTATTTAAAAATATAAATGAAATAGGAAACTCATTTAATGCAATATATAAATATTTTGAAACAATTAAAAACAAGTAAGAAAGCTGTAGTCGAGACTGCCACGCATTGGCTGCAGTGCACTGCAACAACACTTCAGTATTGGCTTACTATGCGAACTTAATTGCTTAATAACTTCTTCTAGATGGACTATCTTCATGAAACTTTCAGATTATGAATATAACATAGATATGCATGTATTTGCCGAAGCACAAGTCTGTAGTATTTGGGTGGTGGAGGTGGAGGGTAGATTTTTACAAAAACCGAAATTGTGTAAAATGCATATACATAAGTATACATACAAAATTTTGAAAAGCTTTAAAGATGTAGCAGATATAAATTTATTACTGGTTTTCGATAATGTTTTTAATCGATAACAAACTAACGGGGCAAGTTATCGATATTTAAAACAAAACTCGATATGCGCGTGCTACACACGGATCTAGGAAAAAAATTTCAAGTCTCTAACTCTAACTCTAACGACGCGTTCAAACATACGGACAGACGGACGGACAGACGGATAGAGCTAAATCGACTCAGCTCGTCGCCCTGATCAACAATATATATACTTTATGGGGTCTGCAAGATAGTAGCTTTTTATACCCTTTAAAGTACATAAAGAATTTCGATTTTTGTCAAAATTTACCCTCTACCCCAATATTCAACTCCTCACCCAGATATTTGTAAAAGGCGTATTTCAAATACTAGAGACTTGTGCTTTAGAAATACATGCATATCTATGTTATATTTATAACCTGCAACAAGCTTCATGAAGATATTCCATCCACACGAAAAGTTATTAAGCAATTTATTTCCCACTGCAGCCAATGCGTGTTTATGCATGCGTGCATATGTCTGTGTGTGTGCGTGTGTGTGTTCATGTGCGAATAATTATTGAAATATCAGTTGCTCGAAGAGTTCAGGACATCTCATAGTAGGGCAGTAGGGCAGTAGGGCACTAGAAAAGCTTTCTTACTTGTTTTTAAATGTCCGTATATATAGCGCGGATATTGAGTTTATCACAAAACATCGATAACTCATCCCATTATTTTATTATCGATTAAAAACCTTATCAGTTATAAAATTATATCTCCTACATCTTGAGCTAGAGTCCCAAATTCTAGCTTTTCAACTAATATGCTTTCTGGTATCTATCGATGATCCAAATAATTGTTACGCCTCTTTAGAGGCATGCTATATCGAAAAATACCCTGTAATGTTCACATTTGTTGAGCGTAGGCATTCAAATTTTGCAGTTAGGTTACCGGTAGCTCGTTCTAAATACGCCCAGTAGAGCCGTGGCAAATTAGGGAAAACTGAATTTTCTACAGTATTATAGCTAAACTTAGCTACTAAATTGCTGATGGGATGTGAATGAGTATACAGCAATTGGTAACGCCCGACTGCAATGTTCTTGCTTGTTAATTATAATTTTAGTACACTCTGTCAAAATTTTTAAATTAAAATACATATGTAAAGCTTTTCCATTAACATTAAATATAGAATTAATTTCATAGCTTATTTTTATACATTATTACATATTACTTTTCAAAAAAATAATTTTGATATTTAGGCCCGTTGTATATATTTTGATTAGTTAACAGTGCGTCAGAAATCTAAGTTTGGAATAACAAATTTATTTAAATTAGGTCAATAGGTGATAAACGTAAGGCTGACAACTTCTGTAAAAATTACAGGGGTAAAATTTACTACAATTTTTGAAATTATTTGGAGTCGAGCGGAATATAACCTAAATTAAGGCGCAACTGCTCATAAATTATAAACAATGATATTGTGGCTGGGGCCTTTCGAGCAATTGTGGGCACCAATCCACGGTAGAGCCCCAAATATCCAAAACGCATCATATATTTAATAGCATGGAAAACAGTCGGAAACTGTGTGGGTGGTGCATTCATCATTAAAGTCTTCAGCACGTCAAAGGGCTGCGAAATAATTGACTCAATAATTGACGTGATTAATGAACTCTTAAAATGTAAATGCACGTCGTCTTCTAACATGAAGCGATGATGAAGCTCACTTTTAACCTACTCTCCAGATCAAAAAGGATATATGTACACTAATACTATTACATATGAAGACAAAAATGAATAGTTACTTGGTCATAGACTGCTAGCTGGGCACTGTTTCCAATAGCTGCTTTAAGAACAGCAGCAATCCCGCCACTATATAGGGTCATCCACCCCTCCTCTTTGGGAATCCGGATCAGAGCATCCATAAAGCTCTTATAACTATGATAGTATGATAGTTTCGATAAAATTAAAGTGCGAATATGCAGTGAAGAATTTGAATAGCATATATGTACTTTCGTCTTAAGTTCTCAGCATATTTCATATCGTTTTGCATCCGCACATTTATCACATCCATTGGTAACCCAACTAATGCTCCAACTATGCCTGCAAAGCTGGCTACATAAACTTTGTCAAGAATGGAATTCGAGTTTTGCAATATTTCTAGGTGCTTGCCGTTCTCATACAGAGAGAATCGAAGACTTGTGCATGTCAACTGACGAAGTGCAGCCGCTGTAAAACCATCATAAAAACCTAAAAAGCCTACGATAGGATAATGATTGATAAAAACGTCTTAAGGTAAATGCAAATAAAATACGTGTTTAATCACCTCTTAATCGTATGATTTTGACAGTTGTTTTCAACATACTCTTCTTTTTTGTCTGTGTTTGCATATGCGTCTTGATTAAATCAAAAGGTGCTAATATACAAGCTACACATGTGGATGCCACTCCTCCAGACCACCATCGTGGTCGTCGCAATTCGCGATCGTCAGCCAGTACCTTGTGATGTGCCTATACCTATGACCCAAATTAAGCATTCCACCAATTCAGAAAGAAGTTAAAAATAACAATGTTCTCTAGCGAAAGTATAAATTTTCAAAACTAACTACCTACTATGGTAAATGCTTATCTAAATTAATATTTCAGTGACAGCCAAGCTTTAGGCTCTAAAAAGTCAGTCTCAATCATGACACATGACACGGAAGTTTAGCACGTAAAACCGCAATGGTCAATACTGCCCGATTAGGAGGTACACAATTTTTGAGACGACGTGTCTTACAGCGCTTCTGCCATTACCAACCACCTTTTCCCAGCTATCTAAAGTAGTGGCTAAATATTCAAACGCAATTATATCGTAATTAGATGTTTGAATGCAAAGCAAGAATGTAAGAGGACTCTAGTCGAGACAGCTCTACTACGAGACCCCCAAAATCCTTCGAGCAACTGATATTTTAATTTCCTCGCACGTATGACCTTAATACATATGGAAATACATCTGTTATAAATTAGGAAGGATCAAGGTCTGCCTGTTACATACATTTCCACAAAACCATTATACCCTGATTTCTCAATTTCCAATGGGTTCAGGGTATACAAAGATTTTAAAAACAGCAAAAGCATTTACTATCAATGTCATGATAACTTTTAAAAATAATTATAGCTTTCAAATAAAATTGGCAAACAAAATTTTAGTTCGAAATACTGCTTCCTTTTCTGATCTTTGATAAAATCTTGACTATTCCCATGATATGCTTAGGAGAAGGCCTGATTGAAGCATCGTTCGATTCTGCAAGACTATGACAAACCAGTTAACTACCAAGTTGGATACATATTCAATTTGAAAAACTACTTTTATATTAGTCATTTAGTAGTTTATTTTTATATAATTCGAGTATCCCCTAATGGTAGGAAGTTGACAATAATTAGACAGAAGATCATTTAGTATCACATAACTTCTAAGCGTCATTCTACTTTGCTCTGAAAATAGGAAAAAAAAAAAAACGTTCAAAACTAAATAATGTCACCTCAGGACATAAAATTGGCGAATTTTTTAGTAGCCAATAAGGTCTCGGATGACAACAAGAAGTGAGTGGCACGTGAAATAATTCATTTCTGTATATCCACAAAAGAATTCGGCGACTATCTTACAGAATCATACCACGCTGGTGGAGCGGTGGAATATCTGGTGCCTGTAGCCAATGTATAGTTGCACCTTTTGATCTACTGGAGACTCAAATGATTTTTCTTAGGAAAGACATGACAATGGTTGACTATGTTAAAATAGCAATAAAAAAACATGGTAAGCACTATCCAAATTCCCATATATAATATAATAATATAAATAATAACACGCACAGTGAAATATTGCTTTTGTGCAATTTCTATCTTACTGTCCGTCCGTTCGCTTGTCGCCGCTGTTGAAACTAGAGACTTGAAACTCGTAAAATATTCTAGGTTTATAATGTGTCAAGATATTCCCGATGAGCCCACGAGTGGCGTATCAAATCGCAAATTGCATTTTACGATATATCAAAAATATTAGTTGCAGAGCTATAAACTTGAAACTTGGAATGTATACTCGCGTTGACAACACAAGTTCAAAAAGTTATGACGGATATATCGATTCACAAATTCTAATATTCTTTTCAGTACTATTATATTTAAAGAATTGAAATGTTGGAATAAATAGTCGGGTTGGCAGTCCAAACCAAATTAGGTATTGTGGATGTGGAATCGTTTGGGCCGTGAATAAGTATTCTCCAATCGGTAACGCACACTTTCAAGTTCTTACTTGTTTATAAGTAGATATGGCGGATATATACGCCCATCCAGTTTCTAGCTCTAAAGCTATAGAAAAGATAGGTTTCCCGAGATACCATGCTGCCAATTGATTAATTTTAATTCATACATATTTGTATATTTGGACAAATTGATGTAGTTAATTATTAATATTTCAGGATTTTTATCACTGTATGACGGTCTGAGCGCCCAACTTTTACGACAGCTATCTTATACGACATTACGATTCCATCTGTACCAAGTGGGAAAACGATACGTCGATGAATACAATTTTCTACACAAGGTTTGTGTGGCGAGCCTATCTGGCTTAGTGGCTGGGATTGTCGGAATACCTTGTGAACTGGTTAACACTCGCATGCATGTGGATCGGTTGCTAAAAGTGAAATATAGGCGAAATTATAAAAATGTCTTTGATGGTCTGCATAGAATATGGCGGGATGAGGGTTTTAGGGCGCTTTATACGGGAGGCTTATGTTCTTTCACTCGTGCCACAATTATTAATATTGGACAGAATGCGATGTATGATCAGGTCAGAAACTATTTTGATTTTATTACTAGTATCTGTATATGACATTTGCAGAGCAAAATGATGTATACGCATTACTATGCGTGGAACGAAGATAGTAAAATCCTGCATATAACAAGCTCACTCACTGCAGCCGTTTTGTGTGTTCCCTTGGTTCAGCCCATCGAGATACTTAAAACGATGCAAATGAACAGAACGACCGGTTATTTAACCACAACCTCAGAAAAGATTACGTATATGATGCGTTTCGGTATCAGAGGTTTATTTCGTGGCATTATGCCAAATTTGTTACGCATGATTCCGCAGACAATTATTATGTTTCTTTTGTATGAGCAGTTACGATTTCAATTTGGCTATTATGAATAATATATGCATACAATTTTCTTATACTAAGTTTTTAGAAAATAAAAAAACTCTTTTAAACTTAATTGTATATGTGATTTAGTCGTGCCACTAGTGAGGAAGACTTTATGTTTTTTTTATATATTAAAAATAAGTGTTTAAGGTCTTATAATTGGGTATTAACAGTATGTTCTCAAGGAAAATGGATTATCGCCTCTATCGAGCTGTTAATTGCAAATCCGAAACTTCATTTGTAGGTGTTATCTATCTGAATTCCCTCTCTATGTGTGCAACACAAACACAAAACAGAATGAACTTTTTGCACCATGTTAAATTTGAGCTCAAAGTCTCACTGTACTGGATTTTGTATACCCTACGGTCATGATCTGAACGTTCTGTGAAGATATGTCGTTAAATTACAAGTAGATTTCTTTAACAAATAAATTCATAGTAAACTAAGCACATCGCGTGGCTCTGTGCGTATGGATTGCTTACTTGCGTATGTGCATATATATCCTCCTCTCCTAGTCATCATGCCGCCTTGACTAAAGCACATTTACTTATTTTCTTTGCTCTTTAAAAAAAATCATAATATATAACAAGTAAGAAAGCTCTAGTCGAGACTGCTCGACTACGAGATCCCCTGAACCCTTGGAGCAATAGATATTTCAATACTTTTTCGCGACTTTCAGCTTACACAAGAAACACACACACACACACACACACACGCACGTACGCACACACAGGTAAACATACACACACACGCATATAGACACACACACGCATACAGACACAAACGCATACACACACACACATACACATACAAGCAACCACGCATAAACACGCATGGGCTGCAGTGTGCGCTTACTATGAGAACTTAATTGTTTAATAACTTTTTTTATGGACGTACGATCTTCATGAAACTTTTAGATTATGATTATAACATGAATATGCATGTACTTGCCAAAGCACAAGTCTCTAGTATTTGAAATACGCTTTTTACAAAAGTGAGGGTGAGGGGGTGAATTTAGAGGTGGGGGGTAAATTTTAACAAAAACCGAAATTGTATAAATTGCATATAAGCATACATTAAAAATTTGGAGACTCTAGCAATAAAGGTGTAGAAGATATAATTTTATGACTGGGTTTCGATAAGGTTTTTTATCGATAAAAAAGATCGGGATGAGTTATCGATTTTTAATGATAAACTTGATATGCGCGCTGTAATTACGGACATTTTAAAAAAATTTGAAGTCTCTAGCTCTTATATCTTCTGAAATCGACGCGTTCATACATACGGACAGACGGACAGAGGGACAGACGGACAGACAGACGGACAGGGCCAAATCAACTCAGCTCGTCACCCTGATCAAGAATATATATACTTTGTGGGGTCTGCCACGCCTCCTTCTCCCTGTTACATACATTTCAACAAAACCATTATACCCTGATTTCCCATTGAAAATGGGTTCAGGGTATAAAAATCATAATATATAATATAATATAATATAAATGAAAGCCGAAGTTATTACTGTTGATTATTATACCCTGAACCCATTGAAAATGGGAAATCAGGGTATAATGGTTTTATTAAAGGTATGTAACAGGCAGAAGGAGGCGTGGCAGACACAAAGTATATATATTCTTGATCAGGGCGACGAGCTGAGTCGATTTGGCCCTGTCCGTCCGTCTGTCCGTATGTATGAACGCGTCGATTTCAGAAGATATAAGAGCCAGAGACTTGAAATTTTTTTCCAAGGTCCGTGTATATCACGCGCATATCAAGTTTTTCTTTATATATCGATAACTACTCCCGATATTTTATTATCGATCAAAAACCTTATCGAAAGCTAGTTATTTAATTATATCTCCTACACCTTTAGAGCTAGAGCTTGCAAATTTTAAATGTAGACTTATTTCTGTTTTCTATAATTTCGATTTTTGTTGTAATTTACCCCCCACCCCTATATACACTCCCTTATCCTCACCTTTGTAAAAGGCGTATTTCAAGTACTAGACACTTGTGCTTTAGAATGTACATACACATATTACCCTATGATTACGCTCTGAAAGTTGCATTAAGATTGTACGTCTAGAAATGAAATTATTCAACAAATAAATTCTTATAACGTTGCCCACACCACAGCGCAGCCCACGCGCAGTCGCTGCTTACTGCGCAGTAAGCAGAGCGCATTCTAATATGTACGTGTGTGTCGAAAAGAATTGCAGACTGATTATAATATCAGATTAGAGGGTTCAGGGTATCTCCTAGTCGAGCAGTCTCGACTAGAGTCTTCTTACTTGTTTATTTTCGACTCGTTTGAATCGCTGGAGTAACAATCTAAAACTAAAGCTTAAAGTAACATAAACGGCAGACCGCTGAGTCGACGCTTCCTATCAACGATCAGGCCACTTAGGCGTGGTAGTGTCAGGTTCGCGATTCTTTCACACGGTATCTAGCCCACCTAGGCGTGGTGGTGTCAAGTTCTGTTTGCGATTCTTTCGCAACGGCATCCGGTGCAATTGCTCCATCAGCAACTCCGGCCGTGCGCGTGTTAACTCCTCCTCGGGTAGGCTGAAACCCGTCCTCGGGTAGGCTGAAACCCGTCCTCGGGTTTCTCTTTGATTATTTTCGGCGGTATAGTTTCCATACGCTTAAGAGAAGGAGGAGAAGAGCAATGAGGATTAGGCAGCCAAATGACCTTGATGATATGCCTGATTTGAGATCTCCGATGTGACGGAGATTTCTACGGCTGAGATCGTGCAAGAATGGGAGGCTTAAATGTTCCCTGAAAAGGGTGATGTTTACTATGGCCGACGTTGAAACGGCAGGTTTCTTTTTATACCCTGAACCCATTGAAAATAGGAAATCAGGGTATAATGGTTTTGTGAAAAGTATGTAACAGGCAGAAGGAATCATCGCAGACCCCATAAAGTATATATATTCTTGATCAGCACGACGAGCTGAGTCGATATAGCCCTGTCCGTCTGTCCGTCCGTCCGTCTGTCCGTCCGTCCGTCCGTCTGTCCGTCCGTCCGTCCGTCTGTCCGTCCGTCCGTCTGTCCGTCCGTCCGTCCGTATGAGCAAAAGAATCTCAGAAGATATAAGAGCTAGAGAGCTGAAATTTGGCATGCATACTCGTGTATACCATAGGCAGTACAAGTTTGCTTTATTTTTTCGATTACTCGTCCGATAACTTTTTTATCGAGAATAATCGAAAATTCGACTTGGTTTTTTCAGCATAATTTTAACACTTTTAGACCTGGAGACTTGAAATTTGGGTTGTATATAAAGTTAATGGATACAAAGATTTTGTAATTTACAGATTTTGGATACCACGCCCCCTTCGCCCCCAATTTGTAAAAAACGCATTTCAAGTACTAGAGACTTGTGCTTTGGAATGTACACATATTTTACCCATATGATTACGCTTTAAAAGTTTCATTAAGATCGTATGTCTACAAAAGAAATTATTCAACAAATAAATTCTCATAATATTGCCCACACTAAAGTGCAGCCCAAGCGCAGTCGCTGCTAACTGCGCAGTCAGCAGAGCACGTGCTTATAAGTGCATGTGTATGTGTGCATAAAAGAAGTCCAGACTGATTAGAATATCAGCTTGGAGGGTTCAGGGTATCTCCTAGTCGAGCAGTCTCGACTGGAGCCTTCTTACTTGTTTATGATGCCTCGATGATTATCATGCCGTTCAGCGGGATGTAATCGTCAAAATTGGCCAGGAAAGCTCCCGTAACTTGTTGGCTGCTTCCAGTATTGTCCACCACATTTACTGTTACGCTGTTGATGATAATGATGCCATCCTCAATCGTTGTTATGGGCTCTAAATTCCCGGGGCGTGTGGCGCATTGTGCGACGGTTCCTGATACCAGTTGCTGGGCACACGATGCTTTCCGTAGTCTTTTACAGAAGGTGGTGCTCACAGTATTATCGCAGTTGCCCACAGCGAAGGTCTTTGGTCCGCAATCGGCCACCATGTTACCCTCTTCTTGATCTATTATTACATTATCGTGCTGAACGGGAAAAATGTCTATTTTCTTACAATATTGAACTTAGGTTGGGGATATCTTAGAGGGAAATATAAAAGTTCAAAATTTTGAAATGCGTTACCTCTAAAAGGTCTACTACACTAATATTTCTAAGATGCTCCTTTAAAAACTCTTTAATGTCAATGTTGTCCAAGATAAGTGGGCTAATCAAATTTATTTTGGCAAGTGTTACGGATAGAATTAGATCTTCAAGATTAGTAATTATCATTCTGTTCTTCGCTAGAATTGTTGAATAGAGATGCTCAACTTCCGCATCAGGTTTTAGAATTGCATTAAGTGCCTTCGAAACTTCATTAAGTCGTACTTGAAATTTATTGTTGATTTCGATTTGCCTATTTTCTGAATCTATTAACTGCTCCCAGTCGTAAAAATATGGGGTTCCTGCAATTGCCTTAAGGGCACTACCTATCAAGTTTATACTGCGAGACTACCTATGGTGAACATTTAAAGTTGCAATTAATGTGGCTATATTTTGAATGTCGGTCTTCAGTGCCTGTTTTTTTTGGTCTTTGAATAGGTTGTCTATTAGTTGTCTTGTCTCGTCAACGTAAGTTTCGAATGATGTTAAGTTCGTCGTGTGTCCCAAGTACCTGTATTTGTCCCAGATTGTCACGTCTCCGTCAACTATGGGTATGTAGTCCGCGTGGGTATGTGTAGTCATTAAGTCTTAGTTTCGCTTCAGTCACAGTCAGTGAACTAATACACTTGACTATGATGGTGTTTACTTGCGTATTGATCTTTATTCTTCTGAGCCTGGGCTTATATACCCAGACTCATGCATAATTTCAACCCTTAAATCTAGTGCGTCTATTGCTGCGTGTGTAAGGCTCAGCATTGGTCTATTATATATTCTTATCTTATCGCAGAGTTTGTAAGGCTCCGCGTGGGTCTATTAGCTATTCTTAACCTATCGCTGAGGTTGTAAGGCTCAGCGTTCGTCTCTTACATATCGGACTCTGGGGTTGCAAGGGTTGGTGTCCATTTGTCTATTTATACAGTCCGTACATGTGACCCTTATCTT